AATAATATGATATATTGAAAGAAAATAAAAATGAAAATATAAAATTCTATAAATATTTAAAATTATAATTGACTAAATAATATATATATATTTATTTAGATTCAGTTAATATAACAGTATATATTATACTAAGATATGAAAAAAATAAAAAATATTTATTAAATAAATATATTTTTTAATATTAAATAAAAAGTATTTTAGAAGGTTCAAATCTTAAAAATAATTGAATATATAAGTTTATGTATATTTATTTAGATTATATAATCTAAACTAATATTAATATAATAAACTGATTTTAAAATAGATATTTGAATTAATTATTAATATATATTATTTATTATTAATAAATAATATATTATAATAATAATTGATATGTTATTATATATTGATAAATAATATATTAATAACAATTAATAATTATTGATATGAATATTTATTGAAGATTATTAGAGTTATCAATTAATATTAATATTTCAGAAAGATATTTATCAATTTTTATAAATATAATAATAATTCTTAATGAATATCTCCAAAAAATTTTCTAATAATTATTATAGGTGAGTTAGAGTTTTATAGATTTGAGAAAAATTATAAACTGTGATGGTGAATGAAAGTAAGTAATCAGACTAATTTTATTATTTATAAATATTATTCAATATAGGTATTTTCAAAGATAATTATGAAATGGGTAAAAAAGATTTCATATATTGATTATTAACTAATTTATTTTTATTCTTGTAATTTTTCTAGCTAAAAGATTTAAATTCAGATTAATCAAATTATTTAATCAATGATATATTTCAGCTTTTTTTGAATTAAAGGATCTAACAAATTCATCATCTTTTCTGGTAGAAAGAATCTAATTAATGAATTTAAAATTATAATTTTTATAGAGTAATTTTACAAGTATTTTTCTTGGAAAAAAGGTTTTGTATATAATTTTATTTCTGTTTTATTTAATAATTATTTATTTTATATATTTTTTTGTTAACTATTATATTAAAAGTGATATTATTCTAATTTTAAATAATTTTTTTATTATATTAATAGATTGAGTAATAGTAAAGAATAGCTAAAGAAAGAGTGACATGATCTATTACACACCCTTATAATATATTACTGGAAATAATAAAAATAAAACTATTATTTTGTAATCTAATATCTCAAAATCTAGTAATCCTATTTAAATAAAGATATACTATAAGATTTATGAAGTTAAAACAAATTTAATGAGAATATTTTCATTTAAATTGAATTATTGAATTTTGAGATATTAAAACTCAAAGCAGCAGATTTGTTTTTGAAATTTCTAGTAATATATTATAGAGATATATATACTAAAAAATATGAATAATTATGCTAAAAAATACTGAAAAATTATTAATAATATGTAATGTAAAATATCTTATTATCAAAGCTGCTGAATTAACTATCAAATAAAAAAATTATAAGCTAATTCAAGAATGCAATATCAATCTGCAAACCAAACTCCAAACTGCCCAAGCAGAAATTATTAAACTTATGAAATGAAGTAAAAAATCAAATCAGCTTCAGCCAAAGAGAAAAAAAACCATCATGATCAATAATATTGACAATATGTGCTAGAAAATACAAAAAAAATAGGGAGTATAACATAATCTTATGTATCAAAGAATACTACAAAAAAAAGATACAGGCATAATTACAAATATGATACTAGAAGATATTGAAAAATAAGAAGCTGGAGATTATATGATATTGTAAAATATTTAGTAGTCAGATGATTTTCTTTATAAAATCTGGAATTACAAGAATAATAATAATAATATATGAAATCATTCTTGAATTTTCACTCAGAATCATGTATTTATTTAAGATAAATGAATTTTTTATTTTATTTGAATTTTTATAATAATGATATTAACTTGAAATCTTTTTTTGTGATAAAGACCAATAGACAGCTTATTCTATAGAATTATTTGTGCATCTTCACTTGAGATCACATATATGTAGATAAAAATGATTGCAAAGGCAAGCAAAAACTAAATATATTAAAATATATTGTCATAATTAATCATATAATATTTATTATTATAGTATTGTAGTAAAGCTAATAATAAAGCTATTATTTTCTTTACTTGGCTAATTAAAGATCTGCAAAGTGTGCCATTACTCTGGTATCAGTCGTAATAACGTGATATTGGATATTGATCGGAAAATCACGTGACTAATACTTTTTTGCCATGGCTAGGGTACTAGGTTAAGACACTGAGCTGCATATGGTTGACCTTTCTTGTCTACTAAATTTTCTTCAAAAGCATTTTACAACACCTATATCCAACCCTTCAAATGTGAATATCCTCATCGTCGTCATCAAACGGAATCTTCCTAATGATTGTCAATTGTGTAAAATTCTTTAATGTGCATCAATGCAACTGTTATAGAACCCATATATTTAATGCTGTCATTACAAGAAACTCAAATATAGCTGATTCATATTTTTTTAAATTTAAAAGTCAATTCTTAGCAATTGTTATTAAATAGTAAAATTCTGCTAGCAAATATCGTACCAGTATACAGAATGTTCGCACCGTTAACCTAAGAAATGACAAGAATTTATTAATTCATAGTCTACATACTAAAACACCATATCCAAGAATATGGTCTCGATGGTATTTTAGTTTTCTATTTCGGCGCATCATCATAAAGTTACTTGTCTCCATTATGTAGATATACAGTCAATTTCATAAGAAACCGACCACCCAGAACTTTGTGAAAATCATGTCATGTGTAAAGTTATGAAATTTTCCGAACACAAAGAACATAACAAACGCTAATCTATATTATATTGGGTGCCGCCCAGCTTTCCGACACCCAACTTCCCGAACATCCCGACAACCCAACTTCCCGACAAACTAGTCCATTATAGGGATCGACAACATTTATTAACATTTAAACATCAACGCGATAAATAATTCTTGGTAATTGCTCAACTTTATTTTAATTCGTTAATAACTAACTGATTTATCATAAAAGGGAATTGAACGTAAATTTTAATTACATATAATAAAAAGTTAAGGCTAAAGAATAAAAGCAACACATATCATTACAAAGAAAGATGTGCACAATTCCACGAAGAAAATCTAACACTGACCGATTTGCTCGATCATTAATAACATTTATAATTCTTCCCTCTCTATCAATTATTGGCTTTTGTCGGGAAGTTGGATTTCGGGATGTTGGGTTGTCGGGAAGTTGGAATTTCGAGAAGTTGGGTGTCGGGAAGTGGGGTGTCGGGAAGTTGGGGTATACCCATATATATCTACATATGCCACAAATCATCAATAAACTCCTATGTTTAAAAAATGGTTCTTCATACACATGCTAGGAACTTAAAGTGCGGATTTTTTAAATGAAGATCGAACCCGAATGTAAAATTTTTGTTTGACTAGCTATTTTTAATTTTCATTATCTCATTATTATAAATTTTTAGATCATGTTGTGTATATACCGTAAAGCATTCTTTAAAGTATTCCCCTCCCAGCTTTTTTACATATAATTTATGTATAATATCCGGGTGCTTTAAACGGCAATCCATAATGTAATGTACCCTTTATTTACTTTTGTATTACAATCTAAAAAAAAGAAAAAAACTAATTTTCATTATTATCTCTACTAACTTCTCCAATCTCACTAAAAACCGTTTCATTACATCTTTAAAACTTAATTTTCTAGTCATTCTAGAGTTAGCCAGGCATTATTGGTACTCCCAAGATAGGTTTAGACGGTTTTCACTTCACCAATAAAAATTTGGGATTTTGATTGGTCGATAGCATTGTACCCTCCTTTTACCACAATATCCCCCATGTAATATACCCCCCTCGCTTTAAGTGGAATATAAAATACCCGGCGTACTTTAAAGAATGCTTTACGGTAATGCAAATCATAAATAACTAACCCCTTTTACCTCGGTAAAAATTTCATATAATGTCAAGAAATTTTCTGAACACAAAGAACAATCAAAAACTGATATCTGCGTTTGTCATAAGCTGGCATACTTCTATATTCAGGCATTGAACGTTCATCAAAACTTCCATGCCTCAATTTATGATGCATATCTCGATGTCTAGTGTTCCAATACTTGACATCCAGTAGTGCAATTCAAGCAAAAATGCTACCATTGATTCGTCTAGTCGAGATGATCGAATCCGATACTAAAGTGGAAGAATGATCAATCCCCTTAAATTTTCAGAGTTTACTATTAATGATTTTTATGATTTATAAGGTCTGGGTAAGGGTAATGGTTAGGGCATAGGACAAGATTATATGTACTTGCAGTCCCGATAATTTTAATTAATATTCAAAGACAGATTTAGATCGCATTTGCGGTGGTGGATAGCATCCAATCCCTGATATATAACAGAGATGATGTTCTCTGTGTTCTTAACGTTACACATGATTTTTGGAAAGCCATGGAGGTCGGTTACTTATGAAATTGACTGTGTTATCCAGCGAACGCGATTTCAAATTATAACACCCGTACGAAAGGCTCCTAGGTAAATGCTACACTTGATCTTAGTCCGTCAAATCGAAAAGCATACACAACATCAGACAACATCATTTGCAATGAATGCTTGCATCGGGTATGATTTTTTGGTATAAATCCTTTAATAATTATTAGTGAATTTAATTCAACGCTAATTTGAAGGAGTTACGTGATAAAGTGCTGCCGATTCAAATTATCGAATTTTATTTATTTATTATTTATATAATGTTTTAGATTATGTTTATGATTGTACTGGTAATTTAAAAGGAAAATCTAATAGTAATGGAAATTAATATATTAATTGAGAATCAAATTATCAAAATTACTTAATACATTATCAATAAATACAATGATATAAATTAGAAATTAGAAATGATGCATGAATACAATAAAGAGAAATTGAAATTAATAACAAATTTATCTTTTGTGCTTTCTTTCACGAAGCTGATGAGAAAAATGAATCTATGTTAGCTAGCTATTTGACATCATCACCACCAGCTCCACGAACACTTTCAAAAGATGTTATTTTGGGACTACCTAAACCAGATCCGGGCGCTGATCCGATAGGTAAATCTTTTGCTATAGAAACTACTGGCGTATTATAAATCCCAGTTATATCTTTTCCGCTAAGACTTTGTGATGCATATATATCGCGGTATATATCACGGTATTGGAATGCGTGGTATGTTCGAAATATGAGATTGTTAATGAGGATTACTGAGGATGTTACAAGTGTTAGAAAGGAAATGATGTCGTATACGATTGTATTTTTTCTGTATATGATCTATATATAACGTGCAGCATTTGTTAATAATGTAAATTAATTTTTAACATAATAATTAATCAATTAGATTTAATAAAATTTATTATTACTTGTATAATAAACTGTGGAATATCTTCAACAAACAACATAATAAAACTCCCCCAAAAAATCCATCCAGTTGCTTTTATCGAAAGGGGGGCACTAAAAATCTTCAGTCCAGCGAATTGTGACCCGAGTATTCTCAGTGCATCGATATCAGCACCACTGATGATAGTGACAATTGTAGTAATACGCGTATTCGTATTAAACCATTTTGAGAATTCATGGTTTTGCGCCGTTTCTCGGAGTATTGTGAGGAATGCTAAGATTCCATTGAAAGTCACTGAGAGGCAAAGGATGAGAATACTGTGCATAATAGTGTATTGGTTATCATTTAAAAAGTATTGGGATGACAAAAAATGAGATGAAATAAATTTATTACCTTGGATAAAATAGACCTTGAACATCTTGCCCGTCGTTTGCGATAAAAAGAATATCAAGTGTGAAATCCACAAGAATCAATGTGAATTGAAAAATAATCGAATTATTTCCCTAATCAAAAAATATTGTATGTTTAGTAGAAATCAATCTTTATTATGCCCGCTGAAAAAATTTTAACTTACTCCTGGATATAGAAAACGGGCAATCAAAAACGCTGTGCATACAAGTACTATTCCACCACACACATAAATAAGATGATATTTGTACTTTTCCCATAAATTTGCTACACAAAAAAAAATGTATTTAATATCTTTTATTCATAAATATCTAAGCAAAATTAAAATTACGAACTTGCAGGCATAAATCCATAAGTCTCATCAAGAAAATAAGTAGAATTTGATAATGATATCGGTGTATAAGCTTTAAATCGCACCAAATTATCAACATCTGTAATTATGTGCTTGGTATCAATTTTTGAATTTTTGGATGCTTCTACCTTAAATTCCATGAGCACTAGTTGTGTCTTGGCGTCGTTTTGCCAGCGTTTTGAGGTGCTGAGACGATTTGTTTCAATTGGCGTGATTCGGGATAATTCATTGCTGATTTCTGTGAATAGTGAATTTATTTCATCTTTTGATAAGCTTTTAAAATAGTCAGAACCTTCGCGAGTTAATCGAAGTAGACAGGTTGTTTCATCTAAATAAAATATTTTTATGTTATTATATATTAAGAAAATCAAATTTTTAGAATAATTTCATACCTGAATAACTGTCAGCACAATTATCTAATAAAAATAGAAAAAATTATTAAAACAACCTAATAAGAGCTATGAAAAACAGCGTGATAAATCAACTGACCTCTGGTATATAACCGATACTCATTCTTCCCAATCCCACGAATCGGCTCATCAAGTTGCTTGTCTTTCACAAAATTATTATCCATTAGCACATAATAACTAGCTTCTGGCTGGTTAAACGTGCTCTTCAAAATTGGAATAGAGACACTGGATGCGTTATCTGTCGTTGACGCCAATCCAGATAATCCATAAATTGTTTGACGTAATAAATCTTCTCCATTTATGCCTGTTTGATAGATTGAGATATTGCCAGTTGATAGTGAGACAGATGTTGTGAACCTCAAAGTGATATTGGCTATTAGGGCATTGGAAACAGTAGCGTTAATTCCTGGGGTTGAGCTGCTTATTTTAGGATTTCCGTATCCATTATCTATTCAAATTTATCAATTATTTGATTAGTATACTCAACGAAGAGTAGTAGAAAGAGTAAATATTCACCAGAGCTAAATCTCTTTAAGCTAGTGGTTACAATACTAAGTGTTGTATTAGTAACTGTAGAAACACCCCATAAAGTATTATTCGGTAATATCTTATAAACATCCGACACACGCACATTGTC